TCACGCCCGCGCCGCCCACTCCGCCTTCTTCGCTGAGGAGCCGAAGAAGGATCCCAATCCTTTTCGCGTTCCTCTGCTTCACGGAACGCCATAAACAGGCCGCAAAACCTGGTCATGGCCTCCGACGAACTCTAAGAAGCAAACACTCCTGGACAAACAAAAATTTTGATTCACATTAATTAATTAATCTTTTTATGCCAATATTTAACCCATTACAAGAGAAAACATCTCATTTCTATAATTTTATCGACAAATAAGATTAATTCACTTGCACATCAAAGTGAATTTTGTAATGTAAATGTAAATGTCAGCTGGTAATATTAAAGTTAAGCAAATGGTACATAGCATTAGCAAATGACGTTGATAAATATTAACTCTCAAACATTGGCCAAAATTAAATGAATAAATACTTTTAAAAAAATATTAACATTTAAGTAAACTAGCAAACCCTTTTAAAATGATATTATTTTAGGTTCATAAAGTTCTCCTCTTTTATAGGCACTTAAATGTAGGTAATGGATCTTCTTTGCTGTTTTATTTGACCTCTGTTATAGTAGCTAATATAAAATAGGTACAATTATTTATAAATATAGTTTTGAGGTGGTCGTGACCTAAAGGATAAGACGTCCGATGTATTCGTATCAACGGTGTTCGAATCCTGCAGGCAGGTACCAATTTTTCCTAATGAAATACGTACAATGATCACGATTGACTTCCACAGTGAAGGAACAACATCGTGTAATAAAAATCAAACCCGCAAAATTATATTTTGCGTAATTACTGATGGTAGGACCTCTTGTGAATCCGCACTTGTAGGGTGCCACCACCCTGCCTATTTCTGTCGTGAAGCATTAGTGCGTAGTTAGAACTTCATGCCTGAAGGTGGATGACGCCATCTATAGACGTTGTAGATGTCTATGCGCTCTAATAATCACTGAACATCAGATGGGCGGTGAGCTAGAGTATTCATCAAACAATAAAAAAATACATGCAAATTTAAATTTACTAGTTAAAATATTTTATACCGATCAGATGCAAGGTACGTATTTAAAATAGGCAATCATAAATTTAGAAGTGGCTCTAGAACTATAATATCAAAGTTTTAAAGCTTCAAGAGACTCGTTACTTTTCTTCTGAGTTGAAATTAACAGTTAATTTACATCAAACTAAGACTTTTTATTTTATTTATTTATGTACACACAAAAAAGAAGACATAGTACAGAGTAATAGGAAAATTATGTACAAGTAAGTAAATGTGTAGGTAATCCAAATCAAACCACGTATTTCTGTACATTTTGCACGAGAGTATGGTTTTTTTGTACTCATTATTCCACTAAAAGGTATCATAGTCTATTACAACTTTCAAAGACTGGTAGATAAGCTTTGCAAAAATTGTTAGTTAAAGAGTTAAAGATTCCAGTCTAAAACTTAAAATACTGTGATTTATTTAATCTTTTTATTTATTTTCCTTCCGTACTCTTGAAAGGAAAATAAATATTACGTGGTTCATAATTTTAAAATTCCATGTTGAAATCATAGAGTGTGAGATCTTAAATTCCTTCATTAATGACCAGGAAATTGGTATGTTTTTTGGATCGCAATAACGTAATAAAAACAAAAATTCTAATTTCATGCCATATCTTAAATATATATATTTGAAATTGCCTATTTCAACGTATAATATAATATTATTTGTGGTTTTTTTTTAAGATTTAAGATTAAGATTTAATTTTTAGAAGACTTTATTAACAACCTAATTTAAGTTACATTTTTAATACACTTATTATCTAGTTTTATTATTCGACACCGGTTTATTGATCGTCTTGATGTACAGCATAGGTCTCCCTAAGGGTTCTCCATAATATTCTATCCTGCGTTTTTCTCATCCAAGTCGTTCCTGCCACTTTTTTGATGCATCTTCCTATCTACGTTGCTGTCTTCCTCTATTTCGCTTTTTATATCTTGGACACCATTCTGTCACTCCTTTGGCCCATTTTTCTGTTTTATCTCGTGGAAATTATTACTACTCCCATAAAATACACTGCTGTTTAATTTAGAATTAAATCTAAATTTAAGCGTCCAAATCACATATTATATCCGCTTTGAAGCCATAAAATACGCACGATTATTCTTGGTTAGCGGTTACAAGCGTCCGTCGCAGATAGGTATATATTTGCTTTTTGTTCCGAGCAAACAGTCGCATTTTTCACGAAAACAAGCTATTGTTATTCACGTTACCGCGATGGATTGGGAACGCGTAGATAGCGGCCTGATTTTGTTGCTTTTTATTTATTAGTATATATTCTGCGAGTTATAGTCTTGAGGGATTTCTTCGAATTTGTGAACAGTGGTCGTAGACTTAAAGACATTACAGGATCTATCTTGTGAGCGTTGACTTTGTTCAACTTTAGCGGGCTGCTATTTATTAGCCATGCATATTACTATGGTGAATTCAATTTCATACCGGTTTTCATTTACGCAAATTACCTTCCTACCTTTTTTGAAAGTGCAATTTTCAAGTTTGTTTCATGGCATCATTATTATTCATGAATGGGCTTATTTTAGAGGATCTGTTTACAAATGCTTACCATTTAATTTTTTTTCATTGTTTCGTTCATAGGCTACGATATTTTTGCTTTTGCTTTTTTTTTATTGCTTAGTTGGGTGGAGGAGCTAACAGCCCACCTGGTGTTAAGTGGTTACTGGAGCCTATAGACATCTACAACGTAAATGCGCCCACCCACCTTGAGATAAGTTCTAAGGTCTCAGTACAGTTACAACGGCTGCCACCCTTCAAGCCGAAACGCATTACTCCTTCACGGTAGAAATAGGCAGGGTGGTGGTACTTACCAGTGCAGACTCACAAGAGGTCCTACTACCAGTAAATCGCCGCTTTCCTCCTAAGGTAAATTTACTTGAATAAAAATAATTGATAGAAGAAGCAATAAAAAAGAAGTGACTTCTTGCTTTCTAGCCTTATTCTATTAATTTACAACTTCTGTTTATTAGATTATGTGCAGCAAGGCATAAAAACTTTATAAAGTAACTAGCTTTTGCCCGCAACTCCGTCCGCGTGGAATAGTTACTTTGGCATAACGCTAAATTTTACCCCCACTTTATTTACGTAGAAAGTGAAAATATTTTTGAATTATAGAATGTTAAGGAGCTATTTAAACCCCTATTTTGAAACATTTTTTATATAACCGTGATGTTATATAGCCTATATTCCTCAATAAATGGGCTATCTGAAACTGAAACACTGAAAGACTTTTTCAAATCGGACCAGTTCCTGAGATTAGCGCGTTCAAACAAAGAAACTCTTCACCTTTATAATATTGTAAATAAATAAGTAATAAGTATAGATAAGTTCTCGTATTTCGCGCAAATTATTTCACGTTGTTGTTCGAGGAAGGATATCATGAACACAGACGCGACGTGTTAGCTGGTTATCCCACACAGTTTGGTGCAGTCAATTCGAAGCGTGGGTCAGCTGTTATACGATACAAGTGAGACTTGAAATTCTCAATGTGGTTGGTAGCATTTCACATAGCACTTGATAACAGATGAGTCCTGAATACTGAATCTTGATGAGCTGATTTTTTTGAGGATTTGATTTTTATTACTAGATGTCATTCCTTGATCAAGGAAGTGGTTTATGAACACCGATTAATGCGTATTTCATTTTAAAACATTACATCCTTTTGTTCTGTTTTTTTAATAAAGTGAGAACATAGGCCTTTAAATCGAAGGAAAAATAAAATAATAATTTTGACAAGTCCTTATTTTTTACGACTTTGTGGAGTTTTTAATGAATCCAACAAAACGTCAAGCGTACAAGTTGTAAATTCAAGCTTTGTGGGAAAGTTGCGAGCGTCCACGAGTTATAATATATTACAATTTGTTAACATTTGGAAACTTAAATACATAGAGCCAGTTTCTTGTACACAGGACTACTTAAATTATAGTTAATTAATGAAATAAAATTCAACAGTACTAAAATTCAATCAAGTTTGAACTGTATTTATCGTTTTTTCGTTAGTTTAAACAACATTCGATGAATTATTAATCGGAATAAACCTAGGCAAGGAACTTAAAAAACCTTTCAAAGTCCCTTAACTATTCATCTCAGATTTGGTGGTTGCAAAAAAACTATGAGGTTATCTTTTTAATTCTTCCCTAACGAACACTCAACAACATTCAGTGCCCTCCCAGGAATGCCCAGTCATTCCAGAGTAAAATATCCACATGAACAGAGCTCGAAACCCCAAAAAGGCATTCCTTGAAAATGTTCGACGAATTAATAAAATCGTGTAACCACCTTCCAATGCATCAGGTATAAATTTTCTCAGAAATATATCCTAAAAGAGACCTCTGAGACCAAGGTTCTTCTTACGGGCAGCTTTAATGGAATAAGTACTGGAAGGCAAATGCTCTACTCACCACTTTCCGTGTGTTATTCTATTGAGGCAGATCGAGAATGTTCGAAAAGAGGACGTTATGGTCTCTACTCTCACCTAGATTGCCTGATTTATTGCCTGATATATATTTGCTGGATTCTTGCACCACGATAAAGTGTATCTGTGTACTTACGTCAGGGATCCTCGTTTTTTTTATGGTTTTTAGCTTTATTTGTTGTTGTATAACGTGTTAGATTCCGATGTACAGTCGGAGCTGGTGTGAAAAACCGGCGATTCAAAAACTGGTCGAAAACGATTCATTGGATATCTTATTTCATTGCTTAAACTACCATAATTCTTTATTCGATTGTATAAACAAACAAACACGTGTACATATTGCTAATTTAGGAGAACCAATATGATCTTGTTACGAAGCCACCTTATTGACAAGTTACTCATGACCATTGAATCATAAACAACAGGGATACAATCAAAATAATATTTCTCCGGACACAATAGATTCTCCTAATACTGCGGTGTGTATTTGTCGGAAGGGAGCAGGAAATTCGCTCAGGTGACATTGTACTGGCGCGGGTTTGCCAATTACATGGAAATTTCATAGGGGGCGGCCGTAATTTCGGGCCCAGGGGTTGTGTCATTAATGATATAAAGTGATCCGACGGTCGCATAGTAAAACCTCGACGGTGAGTAGACCTTGTAAATTGTATGGTGACCCATATCTTTGTCTCGTTTGACTCTGTATCTGTCATATTCAGGGTTTTATATTCATAGAGACGTGTCTGATTTTTTTAATTTAAAAGAGGGAAATATTTAATGTAAAATACCTATTATTTTAGAGTTGTTTAAATAAGCAAGATATTTTATTAAACATTATTTTTTATAATGACATCAGTTTTCTTGTAAAATCAAATTTGTAAATTTACGGTATTCTAATTTTATTTAAGTTTCAAATTGAAGATGGATTCGCTCTTAAATTTAGTGACACTAATTTAAAAGTAGATGGTCAAAAGATTTTAATGACGAAAACCTTCCGGCCGAGAAGTGTCTTAGAACCACAATTAAAAAGAAATCTTCAAGATTCCTTAAAACAATATTCTTTCAAAATTTTGACAGCGCTCCTAAAAACGTTAACACAATTTGGCGAGGGTGTTGTTCAATACCAAACTTTACGCTTCGAAGATAATCTTCACACCATAAACCCATCTATGGAAGTCGGATGGTGATTATTGGAAAAATCAATGTACCGTCTATGTAATTCCGTTTTTCCGGGACGATGCGCACGATAACAACGATTAGGTACGAGTATTGTAAGGAGTTTACTGTTAATAAAATAATTACCTTCATATAAGTATTTTATGTAGATAGTAAATAAAAAAATATAAGTATTACATTGCAAAGAAACTAAGAATTGTCATTGAATTCGAATACAGTTAAAGCGGGATAAATAATAAAAACTCTGATAATGAAGACTAGACGACGACTGAGCTTTGCTCGTTTTTTTTTTATCACGCCATCTTGTTGTGTCTTTAAAGCGGTTAGTTGCCCTCAATTAAGAAAAATAGTATTATTATTCGCCAATAGATGTCGGGAAGAGCTGATTATTGAAAACACGAATAAACAACATTTTCTGAAAATAAATCGTAGCTAGATCGATTTATCGCCCCCGAAATCCCCTGTATACTAAATTTTATGAAAATCTTTGGAACCGTTTCCGAGATTCAGATTATATACATATATATTAATATACAAGAATTGCTCGTTTAAAGGTATAAATAAATAAGATATTATTATATGAAATCAATATATGAAAAACAAGATTCGGTACCTAGTCCCAATTTCATTTATTTTGTGTAACGTATCATACAAATGTTGTCTTTTGTTTTGAATTACGACTTAACATTTTAAATTTATTTATTCGTCTAGTTTCTATTACAAGAACAAAAGACAGTTTCAGACAAATTTATTAGTCACTTTGCCTGTACAAACGTGACCGTCGTCTTGTTAGGTGTTCTCATAAAACTCTCTGTGGATTCATAAAATATGTAATTTGATCAGGATCCGATCTGGCGCCGGACGCTCCCCGGGGTGATACAGAACGACCATCGAGATAACGTGGAAATAGCTCTGTCCAAAATTGACGTAGCCACGCGTTAGAAACTTTCTGACCTTGGTCGCTCAAGAATAAGGACACTTATCTATGTTTCTTTTGATTTTATTGTAACAGTATCACTGTTATTGACTACGTATATTTACGTAGCACATTATTATCCATTTACTAGAAAATTTGCATTCAATTATTAATCTAACTAGCTTTTGCTCGCGACTTTGTCCGCGTGGAATTGTTACTTTGGCGTATATCTACGTATAGTGTAAGCTCTCAAAAGGACAAAAAATACCCCGATTTTGAAACATTCTTTATTGGTGCTCCGCTGGGTCCTATTGGTCTTAGCGTGATGTTATTTAGCCTATAGCCTTCCTCAATAAATGGGCTATCTGACACTGAAAGAATTTTTCAAATTGGACCAGTACTTCCTGAGCGCGTTCAAACAAACAAGCTCTTCAGCTTTATAATATTAGTATGAATGTTATTTATTATGAGGGTAATTCGGAAGACACAGTCGCAACGTCACTGCAGTCTTACTGGTGGTAGGACCTCTTGTGAGTCCGCGCGGGTAGGCACCACCGCCCTGCCTATTTCTGCCGTGGAGCAGTAATGCGTTTCGGTTTAAAGGGTGGGGCAGGCGTTGTAACTATACTTGAGACCTCAGAACTTATATTTCAAGGTGGGTGGCGCATTTACGTCGTAGATGTCTATGGTCAGTAACCACTTAACACCAGGTGGTCTGTGAGCTCGTCCACCCACCTAGCAATAAAAAAAATATATATTTAAAATGTTATTTAGTAATGAATTAAAATTGTTAATAGTCATACGTTTACTGGTATTAAGAACATATTGCAAGCGCTCATGATTTGGTGTCACAATTCTATTTAATTCTGCCATGAAGTAGTAGTCATTGGTTCCGTATCAATAACCTATTATTGAATAGTAAGAAAACTAAATGTATTAAATTTACTTTAAAATGTATTAAACCATCTTTAAATGCGAGACAAGTGGATAGTGATGTAATTGTTTCTGAGGAATCATTGGAGCTTGTTGAGTCAACCGTATTTCTTGGTATAACAGTGGACTCCAAACTGCAATGGGGACCTCATATTCATAAATTGGCGAGTAAGCTCAGCTCTGCAGCATACGCAGTAAAAAAAATTAGAATGTTAACAAACGCGGACACGGCTCGTTTAGTTTACTTTACTACTTTACTATAATACTCATTGTAAAAAACTCATATTAAAAAAAAAATGTAATATTAAAAAATTAATAAATAATAATTTCTTATTAAAAAAAAAAAAAAAACATGCCCGCTGAGTTTCTTGCCAATTCTTCTCAGGACGGAGGCTAGTTCTTGTGAATTGGCGGTAGTTCTTTTGACGTTCAACAAGTATGTACTTTCATTTATGTTGAATAAAAAAATTTTGATTTCATTTGATTGCATCGCAAGCATCATTTGCAAAGTGGGAGGGCTGTTCTGCAGAACAATGAAGACTTAAACGCAATGACTCTATCTGGTGGTCCCAAATGGTGGTAATAAAATGGTGGTAATAAAGAGGTGGTAGTCTAAATTTTAAGCCAATGGTTATGTCATCGAACCTTGACACGTATCCAAATTTCCACATTACAAAATTATTTAGAAAAAAATTATTTCATCCTAATACAGCATGTTTAAAGCATGTTTAAAAGGCGCTCCCTTATACTACTCGTAATTGAACGTGTAGTGAAACAATTTGTTATAGACCTTGGCAAGGAACTCAACAGATCTTTCGAGATCCCATAACTATCTATTATAAACAATCATATTATTATTACTCGGCTTGGGTTGTAGCAAAAATGATGGGGTTCTCTTTTTCATTCTTCCTAATATGACCTAGCTAATAAACGCTATTCAGTGCAAATAGTTCCCGAGTAAAATATCTGCAACATATGAACAGACAGAGGATCAAATGATAAAAAAAAAAAAAAAATGTGTGCAATTCACACGTGGTAGAAGTGAAACCTTCCAAAATTAAAATACAATTATCCTAAACGTCTTAAGTATATGTAAAATTTTGTCATTAGTAAATAATTGTAAGGTAGCGCCCTCTGTGAATTGATATTTTAATTTCACGTATAATCCTAAATTAAAATTCACTACAAGAGCTTTCATACACGCGTTAGTATTAAAAAATCTCACAGCTGGCGCTGTGTTAAATAGTATGTATATTTCTGTCTCATTCTTTGCTGGCTACACATTATTGTGTTTGTGTCTCTTACCTGTCGTTTTTTCCGTTGCATCCGGTTTGAAACCACAACGATTTCTAAAGAAGTTTTCACTTCAAAAAAACACTTTTGCTATTTAACAACGAAAAGCCCCAAAAAGGCATTCCTTAAAAATTTTCGTCAGTGTTAAATGTTTTGGAGCAATTATGAACTTGTATCTGGACACGACCGAGCCACACGCAAATTACATGTAAAGTTTCCCTTTGCTGTGGTCCATGTCTACCGGCCACTTTGATTACCACGCTGGCTTTGTGGGGCAGTAATATGGGTGTGTAGCGACACAAATACGAGTTCGAATTGTTCAAACAAAGAGCTAATGACAAGTTCAATTTGTAATTGGAAAGTTGTTTCTTTGTGTGTCTTGGGATATACATATTTACTTACTCGTATATTTTAATTTTATATTTAAAAAAAATTAAATTGTCAAATGGATAATACCTAAAAGCTACCTAGTCAGTACCTAGGTTTGTTCTTCATAGTATTAGTATATGCGTTTATATACCTTATTTATTTATTAAATACTAAAATAAAAATATAAATATATATTTAAAACTAAGAAAAAAAAACATACATTGCAATTAAAAACTAACAAAAAGCAATCAACAGCTTAGAAAAAATATGTATAATATATAATATAATTTCATCCTGTTTACTATTTATTATTAGTAGGGGAAGTAATAAGATAGACGAGAGAGTGTGAGTGAAGGTTACTTTTAATTTTTGGTAGGTTGAAAGCTGTAGGTAGGTAGTAGATTGAAATTGAGCAGCCGCCTTTCTTCATCACTAGACCATTTCGTGAAACCTTCTTTAGAGCAAGCGAGCTCACTAAATTTAGTGTTTTGTTTTATGTGCAGGGTTTTTACGCGGCAATAATTCTCAGGGTAATTTTTATTGTGTCACAAATTATATTGCTCTAGTAGCGGTCTCAAATAAGTTTTATTGGTGTAACCTTTTTGCAACTCGGTTGCCAAACGAATTTCGTAAATATTACTTCAACTTGTAATAAAAAGAAATCGTTTATTTTAAGATCATCAAGCAGAAGGAATTACAATTAGTGAAGTGAATCTGTCTTAGTATTTTATTTTATATTAAAGGATAAACACAAGCACTCAGTACATTTAAAAATAAAAATAAAAAACAGTGAAACAGCTAGAAAGCATTTCTCGACAGTACTAAGCACTGTCTGTGTTTACAGAAATGATGTTCGGAGTCAAAACCAGCGCCAGTACCCAGATTGTATCTCTTTTTGAAGAACTACATAATATTATTTGTACCGTGTTAAATGGCACCCAAAAGAATTTCCACCGGCGTTTTATGTCGAGGGGTGCATTTGTGGATCATGGACTTAAATTTTGATATATATATATAAA